TTTCCCTATACGGAGAAACCTGGCATTTGGATCTACTTGAGCGAGAAAGCAACACAAAACCAGCCCTCTCTCCCAGCTGCTGTTCACTCCTACCAGCTCCACCCATGCTGCTCAAATTTATCACCTCAGCAGCCTCAGCCCCTAGCCCTAAAGTCATCTGCAAGACAGAGCTTTCTCCTTTCTTATGCAAACAACTCCCTCAAAACCATGAGGTTCTGCATCCAGAGTTTCCTTCAGAAACGACAAGCAGTTTATGCATCTTTCTGTAAAAGATGGGCATTTTTGCCCTAACCGGTTTGGCTCAGTGGATAGAGCATCAGCCTGCGGACGCGAGGGTCCCGGGTTCGATTCTGGTCAAGGGCATGTGCCTTGGTTGCGGGCACATCCCCAGTAGGGAGTATGCAGGAGGCGGCTGATCAATGTTTCTCTCTCATTGATGTTTCTAACTCTCTATCCCTCTCCCCTCCTCTCTGTAAAAAATCAATAAAATATATATATATTTTTTAAAAAAGATGGGCATTCTTCTTAGCCCAGGGCTGAGAAGCACCAAGCAGCAGCAGGACAGTGAGCTGTCCCCAGCACACAGCAAAGCTGGGGAGGCCACTGAACCCATCAGGATTCTGGTCATCTCTGCCCTCCAACAGGGTATGAAGAGCTTTGTCCTCCATCTAACTTAAAATCAAGACCCAGGCTTCTATATTTCCGGGCACCCCTATGTGTGTTCCAAGACCCCACCCTGTGGGTGACAGCTGAGGAGCCATTATAGGCATTCTGTCCAAAGAGGTGGGCCTTCTATGCCAACCGAAACTCATTCCAGCTCACAGATCCCGTTGGGAAACTGGAGAAATGATACGCTCCCCTCGTACCTCGGTGCAAAAGATCACTATAAGTCTATCGGGAGAAGAATTTTCAAGCACATGAGATGAAAGAAGCGATACCTTCCTGTGTATGTCTTTTCCGACTGGTTCAGGAGGTGGGGGTTGAAGCAGTAACTTGGCTTGACCTGCACCTCCCGGAACCCTGGTGGTCATGTCAACCCCGAGGGCAGAAATGTCTCCCAGAATGCACCCGGCTCAGCTCCACTTGCCTCGAGTGAAAGCCATAAGTCAAACAGGAGCCGCAGGAAGCCACGCTCACTGCACCATCCCAGAATAAATCAAAAGCTTTTAATAGCAAGAAGTTAAAAATAAAGCAGCCCATCCTTAAAAATAAAATTTCCTAACACTGTGACAAAATAAAGGATGAATAAGCCCGGGTTGTTCTTTAATCACTAGTGGGCAAGCAGAGAGAAGGCACACGAAGACCTTCACAGAGTGGGAACACGGCCTGCTGAAGATAGCCCGGGACACCGACGGAACCACGAAGCCCGCTCGCTGCAAAGCTCTTAGAATGCAAGTGTTGTTGTTTTTAAACACAAGAGGAACGGCTCGGGATCAATGCTTGGTGGAGGCTAGTGTCCAAAGATAAATTAAAAAACATCTTATCAAGAGCCCGCAGAAGTCATAAAGATGAAACGAGTCGCTGCTATATGTGGAGAATGACATGCCTGGCATGACAGGCATTCAGCAAGTGGCCCCTGCTGTGGTTACTCCCACTGCTTTCTCACTTTCTATTCCCAGAGCGGCCCCCTCCACACACCCTGGGTAAAGGCTCCACGCACTCCAGCGCTACGTGTATGCAAGTTGTGACTCTTACAAGGATGTAAGAGGGAAACCTCGGATCCCCAAGGGTTCCAGAAGGCTCTTGCTGGTGCAAGCCAGAATTCATGAAAAGAAAAAGCAATGGCTGCAAACATGATCTTAAAAAGAAATTCAATAAGGAATGCCCTCCATGCACCAAACTGTCCGTACCTTTTTGGTCCTTCTCTGGTAGGCGAAGGCAATATCCTGTCTCTGCTCATTGCTGCGGTTGGTCAAAATGTTGACGATGGTGACCTCATCCACCCCTATGGAAATAAAGTTGTGAAGCATCAACAACACACTCTAGTCCTCTGGGCTTATATAGAAGCTTTTAAATAGAGTTTTTAAAATAAAAACTTACATCCTCTTTTCCAAACAAAAATGCCAGGACATCAAAATTTCTTCTCTCTTTTTGCCAGCACCCTCCACCCAATATGTATACCCCCTTTTCTTTTTTTCCTGACTACTTCAAACCTCAAGCCTAAATGGACCATTTAAATATTTTTATTTTTTAAAAAACGGTTTAATTCATAAATAGGTTTCTGGAATCAACAGTAGGAGGTGCATTTGTGGGGTTTTGGCAGTCAGATGGAACACAAAGATGTAGGAGGATTTTAAATGAAGGTCCCCAAATTGCCATTTAAATGAGAATTTAATAGACAGTAACTGGGAACCGAATTAATAGAGACAATTATTTATATTTATTGCGGGAATATGACTATATAATCAGCTAGGTATAATTTCTATAATTATAGGAACTGTCATGATAAATGAGTCATATTTAATATGGCAGTTGTATTTTAATAGCATAATTGATTAATACAATCATACTTATTGAAGACTAAATTGTTTTGTAAGGAAAATAAATGTTCCACTGCTTTTCATCTTCAATAGGCAATTTTAATAATCAATTTTATAACTTTATTAAAAAGAATAAGTGTTTTAATCTAAATTAAATCTAAATTGGGAGTTCTGAAGTGCCACCAAAATATTTTAGCGCCTATTTTAATTGGAACATGTGTATTTACACAGATAAGCAATGCCTTCTGGTGTCTGAAAGTTTCCCATTCAACGCCAGAAATACTCCTAACAGGCCATTTACCTTCAGAAAGCACAATTTTAAGAATTCAGAGAGCGAAAGGTCTCTCTCTTAACTGAATATGAACCTTGTTTAATGGAGTCTTTGCCATAACTGCACAGGTACTTCTTGGGTGAGAGAGCAGAGCAGCTATGCCCACAAGGTCACATGTCAACTAAAAGCAGCCTGGCCTAGAGGTAGCCAGGAGTCCCAAAGCCACAGGAAGGTCAGAACTGGGATGCTCAGAGGAAGTCCATGAGCAGACTGACAGAGGTCCCCTCAACTCTCAAGCATGTTAGAACGGTCAAAAAGCAGAAAGTTAGAATTTCTGGGAATAAAAATAAAAGTGAGCTCATACCAATAAGTGAGTCAGTATGTTAACTGCAGCATCTATTACATTAGCTCTGGTTTTTTTGGAGTATCCAGTGTCAACATAGAAACCCAACTGCTACATGGGAGGTTCAGTTCCAAAGATGCTTACTTCAGCATTGTGTATAATATCAAAAAATCAAAGGAGGAAAAACCTATGTCCATTAAGAGATGGTTTAAGTAAATGTTTTTTTGTTCATATAGTGGGATACTACATAGTCAATTAAAATGATCCCATAAAATATTAATTGAGCCCTAGCTGGTTTGGCTCAGTGGATAGAGCGCCGGCCTGTGGACTAAAGGGTCCCAGGTTCAATTCCAGCCAAGAGCACATGCGAGGGTTGCAGGCTCGATCCCCAGTGTGGGGTGTGCAGGAGGCAACCAATCAATGATTCTCTCTCATCATTGATGTTTCTATCTCTCTATCCCTCTCCCTTCCTCTCTGAAATCAATAAAAATATTTAAAACATAAATAAAATATTAATTGACATGGGAAAATACTCACAATATATTGTGAAGTATAAAATGAAAAAACAGGTTGTAAAACAGTATACCCAGTATAACCCAATTTTAGTAAGATACATATTGCATGTATAAGAAAATATCTAAAAGCTTTTATACCAAAATTTTAATAGTGTCATGTGAGTGATGGAATTATGGATAATTTAAAGTTCTCTTTCTTTTCATTATATATGTACTTCAAAGTTCACCGTAATGAGCATAAAAGGTTTTTTTTTAATACACTGTGAGTGACATGCATTCTAACACCAACTAGTGATTTCACTTCAACAGACTCCTGGAATGGTTCAAAATACATTAATTAATAAAACCCGATGTGCAAAATAATTAGGAGCCCGATCTATGTAATTCTCTCTGGTTTCTAAAACATCCTAACAACTGTCTTATGTAATCACCCGGGGGGGAGAGCTATTTCTCTTCCTAGTCGACAGATGAATACAGTGAACTCAGAGATTGAGGCCCAGCTGTGCACATGTCACCTGTCTGAACATCTGCCCTCCGTGGGTCTCAGTTTCCACACCTGCCCAGGTAAGGGGCTTGAACAATGACCTCCAGTTCTGCTTCCATGAAACACTGACAGAATCGAGCTTCCACATATTTAGTTTCAATTAGGTATGGGCAGGGTAGAGTTATCCAAAGACTCGTTGAAGTCAGGGCCTACTTTAGCGATGTGTGTCTGGGCATGTGCACCTGCACGCATCCCTAACCACACACGGGTGCTCCCTGGCCAGCGGGCTCTCTCTATCTCTATTCTGTGGTTCTAACTCTAAATTAGGAAAACCACTCATTATGTACATGTTTGTTTGTTTTTTGCTTTATACTTAACTTTCTTACCCAAGTCTGAAAATGCAGGAGAACAACAGCAAATACAGTTGTTATCCTCTAACCTCAACTCTAATAGCTCCTGAAATCAATTTGGGGCCGCTGACCTGAACACATACCAAGATCACAGATCCATAAAAAACGACCCTCCCTTGGGAACAAATGCGGTTAGGTTTGTGTCAGAATGTGGCCCCGGCCCACCTGAATTAGGATCACCGGGAGCACTTACTAAAAACACAGTGCCCTGGGCCCCACCTGAGATCTACTGATTAAAGGCTCTCTGGGACTCGGGACCCAGGAAGCAGCATTTCAGCCGCCTCCCCGGGGATTATTTAAGAATCACCACGGGAGACGGCTGAGCATCGGGCGCAGACTGGAAGCTCTTTAGAAATCTGCCCATGTACAAGACTCGCAAGTACGCTTCCACCAACCGCTTCTGCCAGGTGCGGGGTCC